GGGCAGCCCCGTCTGTTTCATATGGGAGTTCCCCCCCCCTCCCCGGGGCTCGAGGCTGTACGTGCTCTGACCTGGCTAAGTAATTTAACGCAGTCGAAGTATCCGATTGTCCTTCTGTAGTTGAGTATTCTACAATAGAAACTTGTTTATTCCAGCGCAGCATTTCCTGTAGATAAATGGAATCACGGACAAACAGCCTACTGGGCAAAGATCACCTTTTTACAGAATTCAAGCAAAATTGTCCAGATAGTAATAAACCACAATAGTTACTCTTCAACGTCGCTTTAACAATTCGAGGACCGTTTTTAGGCAGCCAGCGCTTATTATTCGCTTTTCGCTGAGCGAAATCCCATCGTCACAGTCAGGCTGCGATAGCGATTGCCTGTGTCTGACAAATACACTGGGGCATTAATTTGCCTGTGTAACAAAATACATAGCCTGCGAAAACATCCGTTTATCCTCGCTCTTCGCCGCTGGGGACGTTCCCCCCGCGAAACGTCTACTGTGTTGAGCGGCGAAGAGCGAGCAGAAACGGATGTTTTCGCAGGCTGCAAAATATACTGGGGCATTTATTTGCCTGTGTTTAACAAATACACTGGGGCATGAATTTGCCTGTGTCTTACAGCATACACTAGGGTATTAATTTGCCTGTGTTTGACAAATACACTAGCACGTTTATTTTCCCCTGTCTAACGAATAAACGTTTGAAGTATCTACTTTTCTTTAACAAATTTATTTATGTAATCCTTTACCAATATAATGGCAACTAAGATAAAGGCATCTTAAAACTGAAAATTCCGTTGATGTATATTTTTTAACCAAGCCGACACGAAACCGCTAGCCACGAAAAATATAACAGCAAAGAAAGAGTAGCCCTGTCCCATTGTTTTATTGTATTACATATCAGGCGTTCAGGATTAATCCTATAGCCCTACCTAGCCATACATAGCCCTACATAGCCATACATAGCCCTACATAGCCCTACATAGCCCTACATAGCCCTACACAGCCCTACAGAGCCCTACATAGCCCTGCATAGCCATACATAGCCATACATGGCCATATATAACCATACATAACCCTACATAGCCCTACATAGCCCTACATAGCCCTACATAGCCATACATAGCCATACATAACCCTACATAGCCCTACATAGCTATACATAGCCCTACATAGCCCTACATAGCCATAGAAAGCCCTATATAGCCCTACACAGCCCTACATAGCCATACACAGCCATATATAGCCCTACATAGACCTACGTAGCCATACACAGCCATACATAGCCCTACATGGCCCTACATAGCCCTATATAGCCATACATAGCGTTACATAGTTCTTCATAGCCCCACATAGCCCTACATAGCCCTACACAGCCCTACATAGCCCTACATAGCCCTACATAGCCATACATAGCCATACATAGCCATACATAACCATACATAACCATACATAACTCTACATAGCCCTACATAGGCTTACATAGCCCTACATAGCCATACGTAGCCATACATAACCCTACATAGCCCTACATAGCCATACATATTCCTACATAGCCATAGATAGCCATACATAGCCCTAGATAGCTATACATCGCCCTACATAGCCATACATAGCCCTACATAGCCCTACGTTGCCATACATAGCCCTACACAGTTATACATAGCACTACATAGCCCTACATAGCCCTACATAGACCTACATAGCCATACACAGCCATACCTAACCATACATAGCCCAACATAGCCCTATATAGCCCTACATTGCCCTACATAGCCCTACACAGCCCTACATAGCCCTACATAGCCATACATAGCCATACACAGCCATACACTGTCATACACAGCCCTACATAGCCCTACATAGCCATACATAGCCATACACAGCCATACACAGCTATACACAGCCCTACATAGCCCTACATAGCCATACACAGCCATACATAGCCCTACATAGACCTACATAGCCATACACAGCCATACACAGCCCTACATAGCCCTACATAGCCATACACAGCCATACATAGCCCTACATAGACCTACATAGCCATACACAGCCATACACAGCCCTACATAGCCCTACATAGCCATACA